CCTCCTTACCACTCAGGAGGACGTTGATGCCATGGTCCAATTTTTGACCACCAATAAAATTAAGCAAGCGGAGATGTTCGTTTACACCGAGGTCGTCGAAGGCAGTGTAGGTCATTCTGGAGATGGCCAAACATCTGGTATCCACGGTGGCAGTGTAGATACGTGCATAAATTTCTTTATCACGTTCCGAACTATCCTCCGTGAGCGGAATGCCTCCGAACTCAGGGTTGTGCTTACGCCTGATCTCCGCTGTCAACCAAGTGATGGATACTTGGCCCTTGGACAATGGTGGATGACCATCCGCATCGTGATCTCCCTTCTCTGGCGGACACAACCCGGTGACCGTCCATATAAAATGTTGCCAACCACTCATATTGGCAACAACTTTGGGTGGTGGCGTAGAATCCACACAAACAACATCACCATCGATGGGGAGATCGGTTAAGATGGCGATGTCCTTAAGTGTGATGGTGCACTCGCCTTCACGAAAATTGAAACAGTGTGTCTCCTTTCGCCATCTCTCTACCATCGCCGTGATGAGTTGGCGGTCGATCTTGATCCCATTGAAATGCCGAATCGAATCCAATCTTGCCCTTTTTAGAAAGGGCAAGATGACGTCGTTCCATTCAAGCACATTCATTGTGCCCCTATAGCGGACTATATGGTATGCATCCTAGAAAAGAATTTAAATTTCATTATAAGTTGATGATTTATACATATATAAATATATTATAAGATACAATTTATATATAAATCAAGGTTGTTTTAGAGAAATATACATTATCTAATAAACATTTATTTTAACATAACTAAAATAATTTTCTAAGATGCAATATTAATTAAATCAAGGTTTTTTTTAGAAATATACATTATCTAATTAAATATTAATTTTAACATAACTAAATAATATTATAAGATGCAATATTAATTAAATCAAGGTTCATTTAGAGAAATATACATTATATAATAAACATTAATATTAGCATAAATAAATAATATTAAAAGATGAAATATTAATTAAATCAAGGTTCATTTAGAGAAATATACATTATATAATAAACATTAATATTAGCATAAATAAATAATATTAAAAGATGCAATATTAATTAAAGCAAGGTTGTTTTAGAGAAATACATATTATCTAATAAATATTAATATTATCATAACTAAATTAATATTCGAAATTTAAGTATAAATATTTTTTGTACACATACACATAAAATCAAATATATTATTTTGTTAATCGTATTAATTATTTTCAATAATTTAAAGCAATACAAGTACACTCGTAAGACTCTTAGGAGAGGTATACATCTCCTTAGAAACACAGTCTTTTTGACAGAAAAAGGGGGGATCCGAGGATCGATTAGAACCCGATTTTCCCAGGTCATGGGGGGATCATGATGATCGCTTAAGTCCCCATTTCCTTAGACATGCATTTCTTTATAAAGAGTCTCAATAAGTGTTCTATTGTATTGATTTAAATTATTGAAAATAATCAATACAATTAACAATTAAGTAAATTATTGTACAACAAATAAATTACTTTAACAAAATACAAATTACAAGTGATGATAAATAATATGTACCTTGTGGTCGTTCCAAACGTCCCTTGAACGATAATTTGCTTGATCGTATAAAAATGACGAATCAATCGGTCCTTGATCAACATAATATCGTTGATTGAAAATATCAACATCCGGCCCAACCTACGATAGCATAACAATAACATAAATCATTAGTATATAAATTAAATAAATCATTATAACAACAACAACAATTGGGAAAAATGAGTACGTACCGTTTGATAATCATCATAAAAAAGACCCTCTTCTTGAGCGAAATCGGCCATTCTCTCGGAATCCGGACAGAGGTTCGACGGTTTTTTAGTGAAAACCAAAGAAAAAGTTTTTTGGAGGCAGATCGGACTTAGCCGCAACCAACAAAAAAACTAATTCTAAGGTTGGGAGGGGAGGGGTTGGGTAGAGAGAAGTTAGAGGGAGAGAGGGGAGTTGGTGGATGGTGTGCAGAAAAGAGAAGAGGGAGGGGGGTTTATATAGCCTTCAAACCGCGTGGGTGAGGGTCGGTGGAGTAATTTCCGCCACCAAAAACCGCGCCTCCAGCACGCGGTTTGCTTTTCCCGACGGTCAAACCGCGCCTCGGGGGAGCGGTTTTCGTTTCCCAATGGTCAAACCGCGCCTCTGGGAAGCGGTTTCTGAGGGCGACACGGATTGCTGACTTGGCACGCGTTTTAGCCGTCAGAACGCTCCTCCGATTGGCGGTTTGATGCACCGCCACGTGGCAACACGGTTTGACAGCCATGCAAGGTTAAACCGCGCCTTGGGGGCGCGTTTTTCTCTATAACCGCCGCCTGGAGACGCGGTTTTATTAGAAACCGCTCATTAAATGCGCGGTTTTATATAAATGATGGTATTTTTGGAAATTATTTGGTCTGGGTGGTATTTTTGTAATTGTTTTTTAAACGGTGGTAGTTTTGGATTTTTTCCGCTTTCTCACCGTCTGAGAGGAATGGTGGTAGAGGCGAGGGAAATTAAGGGTGGTTTGGAAGTTGTGATTTTAAATGGTGTATTGATCTAATTCATGTATTTGTGAGATTAAATCATTTTTTTATTTATATAGAACTAGAATACATGCATTTACTTTTTGGAGGCCCACCACAATCACTCAATATTGAGGAATTCACAATCTCTACTTTTTGTTGAGATTATCCACAATCACTCAATACTAACTTTTTTACCTTTGGAACAAAAACACAATCTAAACCTCCAAACAAGATATTTACCTAATACATCAATTGATTCAATCCATCAAATGATAATACACTAAGGGCATGTTTGAAAGTTAGGATTCTCTAAATTGATATATTTAATCAATGTATATATATTATAATTAGATGCATTGTTTCAATGTATGAATTTGAAAAATACATTGTTTGGAGATATTTACCTAATGCATCAATTGATTCAATCCATCAAATGATAATACACTAAAATTGTCCCAATACATCAATTTGAAGAATCACAACTTCCAAACAACCCCTAAATAGGATAAGATGAAGGATTTGCTGTTGTCGAGTCGACGACGGCGCGGGGACTAGAAGCGTATAGAATAGGGTGCAGGTGGGGAGGTTGAAGTCGAACAAGAACGGGACGGAGGGTTGAGAACACGTCGGATGGGCTGTACAAGTAGATGAAAGAGCCTATTAGGTTTAACGTTAGGGCAGAAATGACATTTCACTATTCATTGGTTGGTTTCAGGCCACCCAAATTGCGGTTCAACCTTGGTTGGCCCTTTTTCGAATGATTTTTTTTTACAGAGGGGTAAGTTTGATAATGATTTTAAAATAAAGGGGTAGTTTTTACGTGAAATATAATAGAGGGGCATGTCTACAAAAGAGTATAAGGCAATGTGAGAAAAAGCTATATGCCACATAAGCCTTTCCTCAACAGGCCGCATAGTACGGAAGGAGTTTACGGTAAAATCACTAATTAATGATTCTCTTCCTCGCTCTCTATCTTCCCATTTCCCGGGCCTACGTCTACTCGCTATTTTCTCGCCTAATGCTCCTTTGAAAAAAACCCCACCGGCCACCGCACCTTTGCTCTCGCCGAGTCGTCATCACACTCCGCAGAATCTCCCCGCCTGTGCCCGTCTTTTAAACCCTTCCGACTTCCGTAATTGATTCGCCGCCTCTCTCACTCTTGCTATCCATCCCACTCCGCAGGCTCTATCTGTTGCCGTCTATTTCCAAACCATCCCAAAAAATCTCCCTGGCTCTGACCGTCTGTCTCGCATCGCAGGGTTGACACATATATTTGGTCCGTAGTTCCAGTGCCACTAGCCGGTGAACCTTGCATGGTCCCTTTTATTTTGGCTTTTGTGGAAAGCCGGAAACTGTAAATGGGATTTCCACTCTATGTTCTTCTCTCTGCTTTTTGCTTTTCTCATGGCATGGTTATGTGATCCAATCGCTAACGAATTCCTTATGTCTACGGTGGCCTACTGTTGTTCTATGCTTTTGACAAGATTGAGACCCAATTTATGGACGGTTATCTCTTGCGGTAGGACTTATGTATGTTGGGTGTTAAATGATACTTCTTCTAGCCAAAAGAATATGTCATCCATTTCCAAGTCTACCTTTCGATGTAATATGCTCATCAGTCTGTCTGATAGTTATTTAATTCATCATGTGTTCCCCTTCTCTTTGATTTTTCTGTTTTTCTTGGCATAGCAGATAGCCTCTGTGCGTCTTTTGGCTCAGAGCATAGTACATGTGTATGTTTGTGGTAACATAACTTTAAATTCCTGGGAATATGATGCTGCTACCTGAAGGCAAATTCCTTCCCAGGGCTTTATCAAGTAATGCCTTCAATTCGATATAATTAACTCACTGATGAGAAGGCAAAATCATATGTGCATTTTGGGCTTCCTTTTTATTGAATAATCTGGTTTTCGTTGTAATTCAATATGCATAGAATAACCCAATCTGCCAATTTTAAGCTAGAATGACCTTTAAGATTGTACTTATTCTAAAACATTTGAAATTTTGAATGGTTATGTACAGAGCTTTATTGAACCTGGTATTTTTTCTGTTCGTTGCATTTGAATGTTTTTTCTTAGAGACTATGGTAGATTGTAATTCGCTATGCAATTGGGACTTCCAGTTAGATACTACATGTTAGATTGTAATTCATTATGCAATTGGGACTTCAGGTTTGATTTATATGCCATTCTAATTGTAATTCATTATTAATAGAATACAACAGAGTACCCCATACATATTTTATACTCCACCGGCCAACGGGCCGGGCCCAATGCTAGTTTGACAAAAACGCATAGTAGAGGGACATATTATATCTATAACCTTTTATTAAACCGGTAGAATTGATAATAATCGGTTTTCACTAATCGAAACATTATATTTACTAAACGGCACAACGATATAAAATATAAACCGATTTCACGTGAGTCCCCATTCGAACATGGGCTTCGACATTCTTTCCCGTAATCGTTGAACGCAGCGTTTCATATTCATCGCTATTTGCCATCACGTTACCTCACGCTAACCGCATCTCTTCGCCAAAAGAAAAAAACAAATCATCAGTTTCCTGAGCCAGGCCAAGACTCTCTTCTTCCCCGATTTTCTCCATTTCTTACCTCTCCGATTATCCCAATCCGTCACAACCTTGAACTTCTGTACGTTCGTTTCTTCTCCTCTTTTGTTGCTAACTGTCCTCAAGGTCCTCTCGCTGCTGTTGATCACCAATGGAGTGGGGTAACGTGACAGCGGAAGACTTAATCGACGCACTCCGCGAAGTCGACTGGTCATCGCCGCCGCGCCCTCTGGCGGAGTTCTTCTCTAGATTCACCGTCCCTAAATCCTCCGCCGCATGGAACAGCCGCCTCAAATGCAATCTCTACTAGTAACGCTCTCTCTCCCTTATCTCTCTGCTCTATTTTAGTCCCGATCGCGGTATAATTAGACCATGAAAGCCAATTAGGAAGGTACTCAGATTCGTTTGCTTCGGTTGAACTCGATCGAAACAAAATCAAATTCCTGTATTGGAACTCGATCCCCAGTTCAAGCGCCCTAACTGAGGCGGACCTCTACTTCTTTTGTTGCAGCTATCGGACGAATTACTTCATTATGATCGTTCTAATTCTCGGTGAGTTAAGATACAGTTGTTTGTTTGTTATTGCTGTTCCTACCTCCGGTTTGAACTCTCTCTCTTACATCATCTGGCTCTCACGTTGCGCAGGTCTCGGTTTTCTCAGAAGGCCTCTTTCTATTGTGGCGGCTCTTTCCACCGCTCTTTGCTTCGCTTTTCTGAATGACAGGTTCAATTTCGCTTCTGCTCTCTCCCTAACTTCCTCCCCCTTAAAATGTGTTTTGTTCCGTAGCTGTTTCTTCGTTGTGTCCAAGGCTTCTGGGGCGCTCTGTGAATTTGTTCATGGAGTTTGTGTTCTAACTAAGCACCAAATTAGGCATTTCATCAGTTGATTTTAATGGACCTAACCTGGGAGAAACATGACTATGAAGGGGCTCTCTTTTGGTTGCCATTACATAAGAGTTTCTGATTGCTTTGATTGGGTTTCTTTGTTGGTCATTGTATTATGTGTTGTTTGCTGAAAGAGGGGTTGTCTGACAGCTTTGCAGGGACCTTCAGTGAGAAAGTAACAAGAACTGTGAGGCAATTCTCTCCGCATTTAGCTGCAAAGATGCGTCCTCCTTTCACGTAAGTGGACTATTCTGCTGGTATATTTCAGGGTAGCAAATCTTGCTATGCCATTCACCGTTTTTGCCAATCGCAGACCTGTCATTCGTGGGCGCCGATCTGCTAAGAGATCGATATACATATGTGGCCAGCCTCGTTCAGCGTTTGTTGCAGCAGCTTCACTTGGTACTTCCAACGCCCTTCAGTCCATTCTCTCCTTTTAATATAATGTGTCATTTTATCCCCTGATCCAATATGAAAACAAATACTCAATGTGTTTCTTTCTTTGTGCAATTTTGGTAGTGAGTTTCTTCCTTTGGTATGTCTCATGTGGGCTCCTCACTCTCTCGTGGGCGCTCGCCATTGGAATTCTTGGTTTGTTTCTCACTTTGACTTTCTGGAGTTTTATCCTTGGAATTCGCATGCTTGCTTCACTAACCTTCCCTTCCTCTTCTCTTATCTCAGCCACTATAATTCATGCTAGCTCTAGAACACCTAATCTCAAAGCCCGACTCAACACATTCAGAGAGGAATTCCGGCATGTCTGGCGCAACCACAATGTTCTGTAGCTTATAGCTGGGAGTTAAGGATGTGAGTAATTATGTCTGCTTGTTCTCTCTCTCTCTCTCTCTCTCTCTCTTATGGCTCCCTGTGTGTCATTTTGAGTTACTGGCTGGTCTCATTGCATTCTGGATGTTGGGAGGTACTGGAGAGTGGCTATAAAAGTGATGGCTATCCCATGATTGCGATTTGGATTAGATCTTTTGGTTGTGTATTTGGCGAACTGAAATTTGCAATAGCTTGGAGCTAAACAGATGTGTAGTTTTATGTTGACTCTTCTGACAGATGTGTAGTTTTATGTTGACTCTTCTGATGGTATTGTATGCATCTGAAAGTGCAGCAAAATGATGCAATCTCATGTATTTCAAGGTAGGAAATTTTTGAAAATGTACTCTTGAAAAGTGGGTCCATATGACATTATGACCAAATGTCTTTTCTTTTCCCCTTTTTTTGGCACTATTGCACTCAACCGAACAATGGCTTTTGCAAATACATCTCAATAGCATATGCGGTAGAGACGAATATCATTAAATTTCCTAATGTCATTGAATGTCAGGTATTCCTGGTATTACATTTTGCTCTCTAAACTAGGCAGGCACCAGCGCTCATATCCCACATGAACTCACTGACTTAGGCAGCCGAGAACAGCGTTGTTTGATTTTCGAGTTAACCTGTAATTTGTTTTGACCATGCAGAGCCGCTTTTGTTGAATATGAAGCTCGTTCTGTTGCTGCTGCTAACTGGTATGCAAAATCTCAGCTGAAGGTTTGCCGAATTTCTTGCAAGCTCCTGGAAGCATGTAATTCCCCAGGCCTCTTCATTCTGTAAAGCCAACTATCTATCACTCTTTATTGATTCTTTTTAAGAAATAGCTTCCATTTATAGTCCATGCGCGAGGGAAGTTCTGATACATTAGGAAGCATGGACCATTATTACGGTTAACGGACCTTGTTAAAAGCCTGTTGATGTCAAGAGATCAGGCATGACTTCCGCATAAAAAGTATTGAGTAGTGTTTCAAATTGTATTAGTTGTTTTCGAACTGTAGTCCTTTACTCCTTTACCCTTGCTCTTTGTTGTAGTTGATTGATACATTGAAATACCTTAAACTTCAACGAGTGTCATATATAGAATAGAATACAGCGTTTGGGCTCGGACTGTAGTCCTTTACCCTCCTTAGATGTTGGATAAAAAAGATGCATGATTCAGAACGAAGATAACCAAACTGGTCAGCTCAGAAACATGCTTTGGCGCCGACACCTTCGAGCAGGAAATGATAGCCTAATTCTATTCCCAGCCAACCCTTTTGTGATTTGCTAATGTTGGCAGTTTGGGGTCGGTTAGCTTGCTAATACCACTTGAGGGGTTGGAAAAATGACATCCATCGGGTATTAAATACAATTATAGTATTTAATACATACATTAAATGCACATTGAGAATTAAATGCACCATATTAATTATTTGTTTTTTTTTCTCCAAATTAAAACCTACACTAAATACATTCTCTCTCCCTTTATTTGATTCTTCCTTTTCCAGCAACCTCCGATCACCAGGCTTCCTCCGACCGCCACACTTCTCCGGTGCAAAAAATGTATCACTGCACTGATACGTTGTACCATTGCACTTGTAGCGATATCAGTGCACGGGTACCAATGTCATATCTGAGTATCAGTGCAGTGATACAAATACCAGTACAGTGGTACAACATATCAGTGCAGTGATATATTTTCGCAGGTGACAGGAGAGAGTCTGTCGGCGGGATTTTACCGGTAAAGTGTGGTGGTCGGAGGAAACTTGGTGGTCGGAGGCTGTTGGGAAAGGAAAAATCAGAGATAGGAGAGAATTTCTACCAAAAAAAGAGATAGGAGAGAAAAGGATCAAAGATGAGAGAGAAAAAAATGTATTTTGTATAGGTTTAGATTTTTTTAAAAAACAAGTAATTAATGTGGTGTATTTAATGCTTACTTTGTATTTAATAACAGAACATTTATTATGTCTACCTTCATTAATACTTGTCAATGATTAATGAAAAAATTGACCAATTGAGAAGGGGGTGTCAAAAACCAATTCCTTTGAGGGTAGTGTCACGACCTTACTCTCGATCGTGCGACCCTAGCTCTCAATTCCGTTAGAGCGCTAGGCAGCCTTCTCTCAAACTCACAAGCAAGCAAAGAAGCAAAAACAAGACAAAGAAGATGAGAGAACTCTCTAGTGTGTATTACTCTAAAAAATGATGAAATGAGTACAAATGAGGGAGATAACTCCTTATATAGGCCTCTCCACATGCAAGACATCAATGCCCATCATCACTACCCCACATCAATGCACCCATAAAGTCCCCCCACAATGCACTCTATAAATGTCACCCTTTATGTGACTCATAAGTGCACCATTAAGCTCTCTTAAGGTGGAGAATCCTAGGAGCATCTCTATGCTACTAGTCTTCCATACACGCCACATGTGCATCCGCCATGTTGTCACCTTGTTGGCGCCATGTCATCTGCCACATGTGACATCCTCCCCCACCTATTGCTCGCGACGCCCTCGTCGCGTCCTCTTGATGGAAAGCCTCGATCAAGTCCTTGTTCCTCCAAAGAGTGAGCTCTTTCTCCCAAGTTGCTTCACTCTCTAGAAGGTTGCGCCACTTGACCAAGTATTCCACGAAGCTTGGATGTGCGCCATGACGAGGAATGACACGACGCGCCATGATCTCTTCGACTTCATGGTCGTGTGTCCTGGTGATGAGTGTTGGTGTGCGATGCGACTCTCTTCGCTGCTCGTCCTCCTTGTCTTCGTGGAAAGCCTTGAGTTGGATCACATGAAAGACCAGATGGATCTCCAAGTGCGACGACACCTCCACCTTGCCAATCTTCTTCACGATAGAGAATGGCCCTTCATAGCGGCGAAGCAGTCATTTGTGCACGTTCTTGAGATGCTTGAAGTGGTGAGGGTAGAACTTTACCATCACCATGTCTCCCTCTTCAAACTCCAAATGCCGCCTCTTCTTGTGCGCCCACTTCTTCATCTTCTTACTAGCGTAGGCTAAGTAAGACTTGGCCACCTCCATCTTCTCGTTCCAGTCTTTAGCAAACTTGTAGGCTGCCAGACTGTTGCCTCTATACCCCGTTGCCACCGTCGTAGGCGTCAACGGCTGCCCTGTCGCCAACTCAAATGGACTCGTGTTGGTCGACTCGCAGCGGTACAAGTTGTAGGAGAATTGTGTCGTATCCATCAACTTCACCCAATCTCGCTGGTTTGCACTCACGTAGTGCCGCAAGTACACCTTCAACAAGCCATTCACCCGCTCCGTCTGTCCGTCGCTTTGAGGATGAAATGCCGTCGAGAAGTTCAAGTCTGAGCCCATGATCTTGAACAACTCTCGCCAAAATCGGCACGTGAAGCGCCCATCTCTGTCGCTCACGATGTTGCTAGGAATGCCCCAATACTTGACCACGTTCTTGAAGAATAGTCGCGCCACATCCTATGCCGTCATGCCTTTTGGCCCAGGGATGAACACTCCATACTTCGAGAACCTGTCCACCACAACCATGATGCAACCACATCCGTCGACTTTGAGAAGTCCGATGATGAAGTCCATGCTTACACTCTCCCATGGTCGTTGAGGCGTGGGCAAGGGCCTAGCAAGCCTGCCAAGCTTCTCTGCTCCATCCTGTCTTGTTGGCACACAAGACAAGTCTTCACATACATCTCCACATCGTCTCTCATACGTGGCCAGAAGTATGCTTATTATTCGTTGAGAGCTTGCGTCCTCTTGATGCCGGGGTGGCCCGCCCACTTGGAATCATGACACTCCTTCATGATCTCCTTCCTTAAGTTGGCCCAGGCCCACATTGGCACGAACACACGCTCTCCCTTGGTCATGATGAGCCCATCCTTCATCCAAATAATATGAGTTTTTAATTCTAAAATATTATTGAATACAAAAATTTAATACAAAAAACTATAATTAATAGGAGTGTCATTTTTTCAACCTCTTAGTTGGATTGTCAAGCTAACCAACCCCTCAAACTGTCATCTTACGCCATGTTCCATAGCCTACTCTTTTGGGAAAGTGGTTTGGGTTCCATTAAAGTAAACATTTTTTCCCAAGCCGGACTAGATTGGAGCCTCTGGTAATCGACCCACCCTAGCTTGGTTTGGACGGTACTTCTGACCTCTTATTGAGAGTTGGCCGATTAACCGAGTATTTTATTCAAATCATTCGATCGGTTTTGACTGGTTTGAATTCCTCCCCCTGCTAACTTGTGTTGGGTTTGTAAATTTTTTTTTGAAACACGGAGTTCGGATAAAATATGATAGAATTGGGATTCGAACCCATGATATATGAGGAATGAGTTCATATACCAAATACGAAACTTTCAAAATATAAAGTAGTTAACTCTATACTTATCTGTTTAAAGTAAATTCATATTATTTGAAAGAGAAATTTTACAATGCTATATAGTATTGGTGCTATAGGTTTTTGTCTTTATGGTACAACTTAGAATTGTACATTTACGTTATGGTACAACTTCAGATTGTACCTATACTTTTTGTGCAAATTCTTTTACGGTACAATTTGAACTTGTACCTTAATGTGATGGTACAACTTCAAGTTGTAAAGTTTTGTACCGTAACATAGTGATACAAATTGCTTTATGGTACAACCTAAACTTATACATTTAATGTTATGGTACAACTTTGAGTTGTACATTAAAGCATCAATACTATATAACTTAGTAGAAGTGCTCTATTTGAAATACTTAGTAACAACATTCATATTCTTACACTTTTAGTAACAATTTTCATTCCTTATAAAATTTCAAGATTAAGTTATTATGTTTATGTCATTCTTGTTAGTTATATTAATATATTTTCTTGTTTATGAGGTACTAGTTTTTAATGGTTTTTTAAACAATTTAATATCAGTTAATCAATAAAATGCTAACCTCTTGTTGCACTTGTTCGTACTCCAATTTGGTTATGCCTATGTTTGGTCCGACTTTTAGAAGTGCTTTTCGGCTTCAAAAGCTGAAGCAGGGCCAAACACCTCTAAAAGTTCGGCTTTTGAAAAGCCGAAAATCGCTTTTGTATAACATAAAAGCAGAAGCTCCGATTTTGAGCTTCTGCGAAAAGCTGTTTTGAAAATACAAGATTATCCTTACCATATTTTAATTTTATTTTAGAAAATATAATTTTTCATCATTTATATCATTTTAAAAATAAAATAACATTTAAAATTATATTATTTAATATAAAAGAAATCTAACAAGATCCATTTTGACTACTTTTTATTGTTTAGAATTTTTATTCATATTTTATATTACTTTATAATCATTTTACACAAACTCTCATATTAAAAAGCACTTCTAATAGTTTTACAGCCAAACACTCAACTATTTTTTTTGAAAAGTAATTATTTAAAAGTAGCAGCCATAAACTGCTTCTATAAAAGCCATCGCAGGCCAAACTAAGCTTATAACAAAGTTGATTGAAGCGTCGAATTGTGCACTAGCCCAAAATTCTGTCCAACTATCGATTAGATAAGAATAAAACCGTTATTTTCTTTGAACAGAATGTGGAGGAGGAAAAGTTCATTCATCAAACATTAATAATCAAACAACGGAAACCTGGAACAGAATTTGTCACGCTTTCCATGCTTCCAATTTATCTTAACATGTGATGTAAAATTGAGTAAATACGAAAAATGTATGAGATGTTGATTTATGAGTTTTCTCAAAGGAGAAATTTTACAATGCTATATAGTATATATAGCATTGGTGCTATAGGTTTTTGTCTTTATGGTATAACTTAAAATTGTGCATTTACGTTATGGTACAACTTCAGATTGTACCTATACTTTTGGTACAAATTCTTTTATGGTACAACTTGAACTTGTACCTTTATGTGATGGTACAATTTCAAGTTGTAAAGTTGTACCATAACATAATGATACAAATTGTTTTATGGTACAACCTAAACTTATACATTTAATGTTATGGTACAACTTTAAGTTGTACATTAAAGCACCAATGCTATATAGCACAGTAGAAGTGCTCCTCTCAAAGATCAAGGACTAGGTAACAGAGAGCTGAGCTCTCATATTGGTTTTTGCTATTTGAGCATAATGGAAATCTAATGAATACAATG